GACTGTGCAGTTGGTCCCACTGCTCTGTAGCCATGTCCTTTTCTCATTTTGTCCTTGCCAGGATTGGGAACTCTTTTGTCTTCGTTAATCAGACAATGCTATTCTCATTTCACCTTCACCATCAGCACCATCTTGGTACCCACAGGCTTAAAACAGAATTGTTTTCGCCCATTTTACTTCTCTCTCCATTTATTATTTCACCAAGTCTTGCTTCATTCTTTCTGTAATTTGCTGCTGTCCATGGCCACTGGCACCATATTTAGAATTTTGATTATTTTTATATTAGATTTATAAATTTATTGAAACAGGAAGGAAGTTTAGAGTTAATTTAGCCCAGCTCCTTTATTTTGTAAATGAAGAAATGGATCCTCAGGTCAACTGACTTGTCTTAGGTCACATGACTAGTGAGTAGCTGATGTTACACTTCTCGGGTCTCAACATTTAATGCTCTCTCCCAGTCTAATATTCTTCTTAAAATGTATTTGAAAAAAAATTCTTTTGGGGTCAATTTTGCATTCCTCCAGTTAAGGGTGAGCCAGTTTAGGAGGTAGGATAGATGACAGCATTTCCTAGGCACCCCTCCCTCTTTTCCCTCTTCCCTGAAGGTAACTATATTACTTAGAACTCTTTTAGCCCATTTAAAAAAATACATATTTACCTCCATATGTCTGAAGAGCATTTTGGAAGAGTTCATACTTGTGTGCATGCTTGCTGGTTTTTTTTCTTTTTAGTTTTGATTTCCTGCTGTGAAAAGATAGGACAGATAAGGATTAGCTGCCCCCCACCCCCGACACTGCACCCTCTTCCCTGTCTCTCCAGTATAGTTTTATTGCAATTTTGGTTAAATCAGTATTTATCCATTATTACTTGGGATGCTGTTTATAGTGTCAAGTGGTAAATTACAAATACTTTTTGTAAACAGCTTCTGGTATTCTTAGGAAATGATGCCTTTTTTTTTTTTTTCTTTAATGTATCAATCACTAGTTTAGCCTCAGACTTTTAACCAGTTACATATTCAGGTATTCCATCAGCTTAATCATTTGAAGAAATTTTACCTGCTCCAGACTGGACTGCTTGTTCTCCCTGCTGGGACCCTGGGAGTTCTTGCCTCTCGTCTTCGTCTCTGTTGTTGTCTTTCGTGTTGTTCTCCCTCTTGTTTTAGTGGAGCACAGTCTCTAGCGGTTTTCTGTGAGAATGGGCTGTGGGAGGTAAATCTTCTGAGACTCTCTGTGTATTCTTTATTGGTAGTTTGGCTGGGTATAGACTTCTGGGTTGGAAATAATTTTCCGTATGTATTAGTCTGCTAATTATTCTCGGTGCCCTTTTAAATAGTATACTGTTTTTATTTGATGAGTATACTAACTGAACACACACAGGTTTATCTCCCTGAGGATGTCAAATAATTTTTTAAGGTATTTTTTTTCCTTGTGTAGTCTTTCCTGTATCCTGCATTTTTCTGTTTGTTTTGTTCTCTATGTTTCATGATAGAGGTTTTCCTGAGATGTTATCAGAACCTGTGTTTTTCATTCATATTTAAAAGTTACACAGCACATAGAGTTGAATTCATGCAACAGTTCCATTCTTTCTCAGCTTTGTTCACTGTCTGTGAACATAGTTCTCAGATCTTCATTTCCAAATCACATCTTCCACTATAAGGAACCGAGGAGTCCTTGGAGAAGTGGGTGATTTCAGAGCTGGGGCAGAAAATGTAAAAGTTTAATCTGGAACATGTTGTTATGCAAGGAAACAAGGAAGTACTCAAAAAACATGAAAAGTATGCATTCCTCTGCTTGAAGGGGCTCCCCATGGCCAGATCTGGGATAACTTGAATATCAGAATGAATGGTGATATTGATAAATTAAGAATCCATGAGTCCATACTACTAATGAATTAAAGAATGAGTGGGGAGAAGGAAATATACTTTAGTTATAATGTCAGCTGATAAGTGTAGAAGGAACAGTAGATTTACAAAATAAACATAATTTTATAACTGTCAATAGCAGTTGATTCAGACAAGAATTGCCTGAGGTTACTAAAACTATTGGGTGAATGTTTTAAGAATGTAATATCAAAATTTATCTCCATACAGATTATTTACTAGTTAATTACTGAGGGCCAAAGGGTTATTTTACGGTGAAGAAATAAGACAAATATCATTTTCCCTAAGTGATCAAAATCCCAATAATGGGACACATTGATACCATCTTACTACTTACGTGATAGTCTAGGAAAAACAAACCTCACTAACCACTTGTGTGGTGTTACTCCCAGAAGTTCATACCGTGGGTTCTTCAGAAATGCCATGAAAGACAAAGAATTGCTGAACTCTTTTAGATGGAGACACAGTGTCAGGTGTGATTCATGAGCCTGAATTGAGGTGAAGGGGGCTTTCCATCAGGGACATCATAGAACAATTGGCAGAATTGGAATGTGAACTATATAGTCTATATGGGACTGTTAATGTGTTAAAATTCCTGATTTTGACATAAGTACTGTGGTTGTATAAGAGAATATCCTTGATCTTAGGAAATACCTAGTGAACTGTTTAAAGATAAAGAACATGATGGCTGTAGAAACTCAAATGTTTGGGATGGGAGAAAGCAAAAGTGATACAGTGATTAGTTGTGAATCTAGGTGAAGGCTCTGTGGGAGTTTCTTGTTCTGCTCTTGCTACTGTTGTAAACTGCAGGTTTACGATGAAAACTGTTAAAGAAAAGGTGAAAGTAAGGGTGGCTGATTGGAGACTCCATTCATGGGTAGGGGCTCATTGGCTGGGAACTGTTTATCAGAGTGACTGGTTGAGCTCCTTTGGTTGGGAAGTCCCCTTGTCAGGATTTTCAGGCCTTTCTTTCTTGAGGTCAGTGATTAGAAGTCATTAGCAGTCTTCTTCCTAGCTGGAAACGGCAGAGCCCAGTAGGAGAATTTGGATCGGGTAGGGTGGGCAGATGAGTGGACCTCACTCTGCATTCTTTCTGCAATTCACAGGGTCCTTCTGTTTTTAGTGGCAAACCCATCCTCAGCTCTGCAGGGCTCACCATCCTTTCTGGCTTCCTCTTGTCATCTGGGACTGGGAGGGATGGAAGAAGGCCAAGGGGATTTGGGAATCTTAAGTGTTCATTGAATAACCTTTTTCAGCCAGTGTTCCTTTTGCTTCCTTCCAGCACTCCTCTAATTTTGTTGATTGTTGGGATTATGCCTTTAAAAAGCAAGACAAAATACCAAAACAGTTCTTTTACTGTAGTTTTAGAGGCGTTTCAGTGTATGTTCAGTATACATTCTTTACCCAGGAGTAATAAGAATGCACTTAACGTACCATTTCATTCTGTTTTCTATCTTTTGATCTTGTTTCTCACATTCTTACTTTGGAATAACAAGATTTCTTAATATCGATAGTATAGACCCCACTCTTTCCTATAATTAGTCTAAGAGAAAAGACTAAATAATTAACACAGACCTTTTCCCAGAGAAGTCTTACTTTTTACAGCTTCATAAGCACCTGGATTTGTGATGCCATGAGTGTGTTTGATGGCTGTTTTATCATTTGGCTTCCCTGGGCAGGAGTATGCAGCACATTGGGGCTGGCAGGTTGGTACAGCTCTGCTGGGAGCCTGTGATTGACCAGCCTGGAAGTGGGTGGAGTGGGTGGTCTTGACTGGTGGTAGGAAAGATTGTAGATCACTTGCGGGCCCTACAGCTACTTGAAGTTAAATGCCAAACGTGTGGGGCACGTATGCATTTTGTGGAGTACGTAACTTCATTGGATTTTTAAAGGGCTCTGGAACCCCTTCCACAGAGAGTGGTTGTGATGGGACTAGAATTACCTGCAACATTTAGAAACCCACTCATTACACCAGCACGCTGAGTTAGTCACATCTGAGGACTATGGAGGTATTCTTGTGATGTAAAGCAAAAATCTAGGTGATTAGTTAACTTTTTCAAGGTTTTGTTTAGAAAACATTTCACTGGTAAAATGCTTTGTTTTCAGAATCAAATATTTTCTTCATAATAAACTAGGCTTCATAATAAAATGTTGATTCATTTTCTTTTAGCAAGTGGTTAGCATTGTTTCTGTTTATTATCTTGTTTGAGGGGAAATGTTTAGTTGATCACCCTGTAGTATGAGTTTTGTGGAACAATGGCATGAAATGAACAGCATTTATTTTGAGATGCCTTATAGTCTGCATCCTTATAAGACTTCTAATTAGTATATTATCCATAGTTTGTGTCTTTTCCTGCAGTGTTTAGGTTTAAATGAAGTGCCTTGAAAGACAGTTTAAAGTCCTTCATGTGTAGCATCTGGTTAATTCACATTAGAGACAGGATTTGGCTGCAGCTAGTGCTTAAGTGCGGCTTTCCTGGTGGCTCAGAGGTTAAAGTGTCTGCCTGCAATGTGGGAGACCTGGGTTCGATCCCTGGGTCGGGAAGATCCCCTTGAGAAGGAAATGGCAACCCACTCCAGTATTCTTGGCTGGAGAATCCCGTGGACGGAGGAGCCTGGTGGGCTACAGTCCACGGAGTCACAAAGAGTCGGACACGACTGAGTGACTTCACTTTCACTTCAGTGCTTAAGTGAACTTAATGTTTAGCTTACAATTTCTGGTAAGTTACAGTTGTTTAAAGGTATTACATGGGGCTACAAGAGAGTACTTAAAAAATTTGTTTTAGTATTTTAAAATATGATGTCTTTGCTGTTAACTAACCCTGTGTTGAGTGAAAATGTCATTGATGTTTTCATAAGGTAAAGATAAGCATGTGCATTTTATTTGTTCATTCTTATATCTCTGTTTCTGGGTTATTGTTTAGTGTAGGGTAAGAACTTAAGCAGAAGGATGGCCATGCCTTTTCCCTCTTGTTACGTAGAAAACATTTCAGTTAGCCAGAACTCTTCAGTCCTCTGAGGTTTAATTGTGTCTGAAGACCTTGTGCTGTTATCTTTAGTGGCAGCTCTCGTTAGACCGAAAAAGAACGCACTGTGATTTTGACTCTCTTTTTCTTTATAGGAGAACTTCTGTCCACTGTCCACCATCCTACTTTATTCCTACTGATCTGCTAATTCAGTAAATTGGAAGACAACCATTTCCAGGAGAACCTGTAATGGGCAAGGAGCCACAGAGAAGAAAACATTTCTTTTAATTTTTAAACTTGGTTTGAAAGGTAAGGTCACAATGAGAATGAGGAGGCTCTTTCCATGAGTTACATCAAGGAAAGCAGTTTTCTGTTGTGAGACCCTGGAGTCTAGGTGGACCCGTCTGGGTCATCTCTTTGAGGTGGCCTGGTTCTGTGACACTATGGTATTTTTAGGAAATTAAATAGCAGCCCCTGTAGTTGGCTCTGGGATGTCTTGGAATCTACAGTACCCATGGGATTCCCAGTTTCCAGAGGATGGGGGTTGGGGTGGGATTGAGCTGGGCCCTAAGGACTGGATAAGACGGCATGCCAGAGCAAGACTGCTAGTAGAGACCCACCTGCCACCCCTTGGCCAGCTGGCCCTGTGTGTGTGTGTTGGGGGGTGGGGGCTTGTTTTGTTCCATACCAGCCAGGGGACATCAGGCTTCTAGCCAGCCACGTGACTCTTTTGAGTCTTAGTTATTATCACCTTGCAAGTCTTTCCTGAAGTTTTTTGTTAAAGACCAGAGTCTTGAGCACACTTGACTTTGGGGTCAATTGGCACTTAGTAGAAAGTGGCCTGGTAGGACCTTTTGGGGGATGTGTACACATCTTAATCCAGTTTCGCTGCTCTGTAGTATCTGGAGGAGCAGGTGGGCACGGACCGTTTAATCATCCACGTTTCAGGCTCCAGTGTCTCAGGAGATACTATAGTGGTTCTGTTGTGATAGTTCTCTGCCTCTAAACCCCAGTGAGTGCTTTGAATTCCTAGGCAGTGAGCCCCTTTGCCTGTGGGCACCCCGCCCCTGTGAAGGACTCTTCCTCAGCACCCCCTTCTGCTCACAGTGCAGCACCGGCTCTTTCTTAGAGATTCTCTTTACACCTCCTGTTCTGTCCAGCTTTACTTCTTTATTTGTTTCTGGCTGTGCCGACCTTTGATGTGGTGCGGGGCTGCCCTGCTGGGGTGTGCGGGCTGCTCGTGGCGGCGCCTGTCTTGTTACGACTCTGGGCTCAGTGTCTGTAGTCGCTGGGCTGCTCTGCAGCAGGTGGGATCTCCCTGGATCGAACCCGTGTGTCCTGCATCGGCAGGCAGATTCTTTACCACTGAGCCACCAGGGAAGCCCCTGTTTTGTCCAGCTTTTATCTCCATATTATTCTTTATACATCCTGGGGGGAAGAATTCCCTTAAGTAAATTCCCATTCACCCATGGCAGCTTGTCTCATATGGTTGGTTGGTTTGGTTGTTTTTGTTTAGGGGGCCTAGCCCCCTTTTCCTCCGCCCTGGTATAGGTTCTCACTCTGCAGATTTGGACTCTTCAGTTGCCTGCCTGCCTGCCTGCCTGCCTGAGTGGAGAGCTCAGTCTGAGGGTTCAGCTTTATTAATAAGTCCGGGAGCATGCAGTAATAAACTGATCTGACTGTCTGACTCATTTATAATAAAGAGGATATTTGTAACACACACGATCATGTTGTTTTGTCTTTATCCACTGATTCGGAGCTGGGGGCAGTGGGAACAGCGGTACTAATTTCAGAACCCCACAAAGACCTCCAGCTTGAATTCAGTTGGTTATTTTACAGGTTCACCATGTTTTTATGTTTATTGGGCAGTATAAATTATTGATAGCATTTATCCTTTTTTTCTATTGTGATACTGGATCTCAAAAACTAAATCTGTCTGATTAAGCCTTTTTTCTCCATATGCAAAATTTTACTACCATCAATGTAGCACATCATGGCAGCAAGAGAGGCAGGCCCGACTGAGCGACTGGGCATATGTGGCAGATGCTACTGCAGGTTGCAGTGATTTCATCTTTGCTCAGCTTCTCTGACAGTATTCTGCCTGGAGTTGTTTAACATGCACTGTTCATAGAAGCGTCACTTCAGACTCCTCAAATAAATGACAACTCCAAGATCTTAAATTCATCAAGAATCGAGGAAAGTCATCATTGGCTTCTTGAACTTGATAACAGAGCAGCTTTGATTGAAGTTTTATTTTCATTTTTTATGAAGAAATTTTCCTGTTAGAAGATATTCCATTTAGTATTCTCTAACTTTTCTGACTGTTGCTTTCTTGTGAGTTGGGGATACTGCAGTGACTGCTTAGTCTGCTGATGTCAACATGTAGTATGTTCTTTCAGCACAGGGATGGCACGATTGCATAATAAACAGTGCTTTGCCCTCTAATCTCATAACAAAATAGTCCATATCCCATTGTACCTTAAAACCACAACATTTGAAGTCCAGATTTTCTTTTCTTGTTTTGACATGTTGGGTGTGCACTGGAAATAATAAAGCACTGCAGTGCAGCATATGGCACTTGGAGCACTGTTGTGTCACACCCGTGTCTGCAGTTCGTAGCCCAGCTGCGGTGCCGGGTGACGCGAGGCCTGCATGTGGTCTCTTGTCACGAATGCTCAGCTCTGCCCTTCTGGTGTGAGAGCAGCAAGAGGCAGACTGTAGAGGAGGGCATGGCTGTGTTCCCTTAAAACTTTATGGACACTGAAATTTGAATTTCACGGGATTAGTACAAAAGATACCATGTTGATTTTTGCTGTTGGTTGGATTTTTCTATTTCTTTTTTTTTTTGTATGGAGGAACCTTAAGCATGTGGAGTCGCCTCATGGTCTTTCTGCCAGACAGTCTTTATGAAACCCTGATTCTAGATTGTAGCTACATTTGTAGAGCCCTTCCTGAGTGCCAGGGACTGTGCTGAGTGATTTTTATTTTCTTTTCATAACCTTTTATTTTATCTTACATAGGTATGTAGCTTACGTAGATACATAGTTGAAAAATCAAATGGTATCACAAGATTAATAACAAAAAATAGCAGTCCTCTCTTTCATCTTGGCCATCCTGTCCTCTCTGCATCCTTGGATTACTCACCAGGGCTGCTCCCTCTGTCTCTTAGCTGATCCCTCATCTCTGCTTCCTTCTGCATTTCTGTGTCATACAACCGTAGGTAGCAGTTTCTGATCTATCTTACTTCCCAGTTATGAAGATGAAGGTTTAATTCTTTGCACAGCTGTTTCCCTCTCCATCTCCCAGCATAGTTAAAGCTCAACTTTTGTTAAGATCAGTAGTAGAAGTATGGTATATGTTGTTTGATTCCTAAATCTCTGCCTTAATTTGTAAAATTCCTTTCAACACGGTAACGTCCATCTGGCAATACTTTTCCTTGGACATCTCCTTTCCAGAGCCCCTGCCTCGTGGCCTGCTTCACGCTGGCTTCTCTTGCCGTTGTCTGTAGCTGCAGTGCACCCCTCCTGGGGGTTGTCTTTGCTGCTTGGTGTGTTGGAGCCCTGGCTTCATGGATTCTGTGTCTTCTGCTTGTGGCTTACTGCCCAGCTTTTTCTCCAGTAGCTTCCTGAAGAAATTGAACAAATCTTTCCGACCTCCCAGGTCTGAAAATGTTCTTTTCTAGAATTACTGTTGAGAAAACTGATGTCGTTTTGACTTCCAGTTCTTTTTTAAGTTTTGTCTCACTAGAACAGTTTCAGTCTTCTTCTGATTTAAAATCTCCAGTCCTGCTGACTTTCACACTGCGGCGTAGAGGACCTCACGCTCTGTGTGACGCCACGTGTAGGTCCTAAGGGGGGAGTCACATTTTTATGCGCTGAGAAAAAAGTTTTGGACAGGGAGGTTGGTGGTGAATTAAAACATGTTCTTCTAAAATTTCTGTTACTTGGATGATGGACTTCTTGAATTGTTCTCCATTTTCTATCTTTTCATAAATTTGTTGGCTGCCTTCTTGGCTGTTGTTTCCTTTCCTTTGTCTGTTATTGTTGTTTTACTAGAGCTTCCAGAGGAGTGGAGGATTGTGTGGGTTTCAACCCACTAAGCATCTGGAAAGTTGCATAATCCTTCCTATTTTCTTGTTGAGACTCCATGTCAGCCCACATGTAGCTGTGCCTTTTATATCAAATAGACTTTGGAAAGAAATTCATGAGGCTGTGTGGTGATCACTTCGTACAGCCTTCCTCTCCAGAACGGGAAGTTGCCCTCTTAGAAAATCCAGGCTTCCAGGGCATTGTCTTGAGGGCATGAGGTCTTGTCCATGTTCCTTACCTTTAGCACATTTCTGCACCTCCTGCTCACAGACTATCTGTCCTTTTTACTTACTGGCTCATTTTTCCCTTGGGCGCTTTCTGTGATAGCATAAAATAGCTCTGAGATATGCAAAGCTAGTTATTTTTTTCCTCCATGGGGCAAGTCTTCCGTCACTCTGGTTCTTTTTGGGTGCCATGTGTTGGCAGTCTCTTCCTTTGCCCCAGAGTAGGACACCACACTGCTTGATGTGGGCTGATCTGCCCAGGGAAGGCTGCAGTGGAGTTAGTAGCTCGCAAGACAGACATGATTATCTATGACACATTTTGAGATTACTTGCTTATTACTCACAGCATAGAAAAACTTTATGTTGAGCTTCTAATTAACTAAAATCTTTGAACTTGTTTTTACAGTTTTCTTATGTCTGGCAATCCCCCCACCCCATGGTGTCATATTTTTCAGTTTTTAAAAGGACTTTTCATTTATCCCTGTTTGGTAAATTTCTCTTGGTTTCATCATGTCAGAATTTTAAAATACTGACTCACTTCTGTTTTCTGTGCATTTTTGTCAAACTTGGCATCCTGGTAAGTCTACTCCGATAGAGTCACTGGCCACAGTGCCGAGCTCCTCCATTGTTACCACCCATGCTCTTGGAGCTGAGTGCTGTGTGCCAAGTGAATCTTTTCCTGCCTGTGAACACTTATGGGTCCTGTTGATGAGTGTGTCCCGAGAGACATGAGGTGACAGGTCAGCATGCTCCAGGCTGGCCCGGGGCTGACTTGCGTTCTTGATTACTGCTGCTGGGACCGGCCACTCACCAGCTTTCTCCGCCAGTCTTGTGGCCATGTGCTGTGCTGGGGAGAGCACAGACCTGGGAGTCCACCTTTCATGGAAAGCTGCTGTATTAGGCCTTTTACTGTTACTGTGGAATAGCTGGAGGAGACTGTTTTTGTAAGGGGTGTGGAGACGTTCACCCTGCCTGTGTCTCATGCTTGGTCATGTGC